CCCCAAAACCCCAAAACCCCAAAACCCCAAAACCCCAAAACCCCTCACCTAATATATTTAATTGAAATAAACACACAAGGCAAATGGAAGAACCTGAAAGAAATACAAGTCGGAATAGTAAAAGGTAATTTTGAGAATAGATACCGCTATTATCAATTTTTGTTTTAGTCTAAAATAACCCAAAATTAAAATTTTAAGCTTAATAAATTCTAATCACAATTATAGAGGAAACCTAGCATCGTCATCTTCATTCCTACATGTACCAATGATTAATATCGGAAGTCTCTCAGTCTGATCGGAAGGGAAGGAGAATCAAAAGCAACCATCTCATTCTCATCGGGAGAATGCCTCTACTGAAAAATTGGAATACACTAAAGAAGGAACAAAATCTGACTACTTCCCACAATTTGGGAAACAAATTAATGCTGGCCAGCTAGTATCCACTGTAAGTAAATATTAGATATTTGATTCTTTCTTACCTTAGAACATAGCCATCATTAATTTTAGGTGGTACTTTTAAATCAAAAAAACTCACTCAGATTAGAGACTTTTGACCTTTCAACTTTATCGGAAGTTTCGAGAATTCTGAAATCTAGGCCAATTTTTAGTGCTCTTAAGCATTGTTTAAACTCCTACTCAAAGAGTTATGCATATAGACTTTCAAAAGGATCAGAAAGGCTAAAGACGACTCTGTGCTCAGTATGAAAGGGAAATGGAACAATTTAAAAGAGACCTGGTTTGAGACTATAAACAAGAGGTTCCATATCAAGGAAAAAGTCAAGCAGAAAGAACTTCCCAGAGTCTTCCCGCTAGAATCATTCAGGATTGGGAGGACCGGAAGCTACCTACAACTGGATGGCCAGCTCTTTGTGATCATAAATTCAGACAAATTTATTTATTTTGTGGTTAATTCAGAGAGAAAACCTGAGAAAGAGAATAAAGACTTCAAACATCTTGCAAAGAATGTTCTCAAGAAATTCCTGAGTCTTTCGAGCTATTTCATTCTAGAATCAGCCAATAAGGAGCTTGGACCTTGGGGAACGATAGCCTTTGAAGTCAGATACGATGAATTATACGGAATGGAATTCACAAATTCATTGTTACAGGACTCATGTCGGATAGTAACCGAATGAAGAAGCTTGAGGAAGAAGTCCTTTAACAATGTAGTAGATATGCTCAAGTACTATGAAATTGAAGCAACTTTTGATACAGAGTTGCAGAAGGATGACCAAAAGTAAGATTTCCAGTGAATTAATTATTTAGAGTATACCATCCTATTTTGAAAAAGGACAAACACAACAATACTATTGTGTACTTGAAAAGACTTTTTCCTAAATGAGAGAGTGAAGAATTTCAGAAATTTCAAGGCTGTGAGAAAGACACTCAGCAAAATATGGTTCAAAGAACCTTTGTCACAGAGCCAGATAGCTTAATAGATTCTACTGAAAGTTGTATTGATACCAAATTTGAAAATCAGATCCTTCTTCTGAATACTCCTGATCCTAAATCTCGGAAGAAAGATTTGATTGAAAATAACGAAAAACTAGATATCGAAGTGGATTCTTTAAAATCTGTAATTTCAGAGGATTTTTCAAACTGTAAGTTGACCAAAGAGCCGATGTTGTGACTCTCAGATTCCAAGAATCCTCAGACAGAGGTTCCAAAGGAAGAACCTCCCATAGAAAATTTGTGTCTTAGTGAACGAATAATACCTAATGTAACTGTTCAAGGATATTTTGATGACCCTCTGTTGCCGTATCGAATGAGAGAAGTCATTGTTATGAAGAAAAATAAAAAGTTATTAAGACATTATGAAACTTCCTTACCCTCATGGACAGTTGTGATGGCAACTTATGGGTACTATCGTCCATCCTTCAGGAAATTCCAGTATTGGTTTATGATGTTCATCTCCTTGGTATCAATGATGATCGGGTTCTTTGATCTCTACAAGAACCTTCCTATAGTGAAACCATTCTTGAAATTCTATATGGAGTCAATCTGGGATTTCCTTGAGGATCACGTCATTCTTAGAATGAGCGTGTTTCTTGGATACTTATTCACAAACACATCGATATTCTCTAGCATTGCCATTAACTTTATGCAACTTCCTTTGCTAGGAGCAATCTGGAACTCGATGGAGTACCTGGTCATAGGCTTACAAATGATGACTCTCCCATTCACCATATTTAAAGGTTTCTTTGCATTGATATTTACGCTCTTGAAATTTATAGTGATTTTTCCATATGCCCCCATAATGAGTTTGATTTATACTATAAAGCTATGATTCCTGTTCTTCTGGGGCATTCTAAAGACATTCAAAGGATTCATATCAAGTTTCAAACAACTGATATACGCTACTTCTGAAATACGAAACTCTAAAGATTTTCTGCAGATGGTCACCGAGATATTCTTCCTGATCACCAGAAGCTCAGCTAAGAAGTTGTTTGATGGCTGTAAAGCCATCTATAACACCATTGCCTACATTGGAGCAGAGATTGGGAAATACAGGTACTCAATTCTCAGATATCTTTACGAAAAATTTGTAGAATTCCTCTTCTCGATAGATAAAGTATTCACTAAGCCTGGAAGACAATGGCTCGCTACAAAATTAGCACCTGAAAGATTATGGAATTCCCAGAGGAAGAGAAATATGCTGAATACGTTCTGGAATGTAGTCGTACTGTTCCTCATGTACCACTTTATCACTGGGTATCTCCATGTGGTCTGCAGTCTCGAAGGGTTCGAGGATAACTAAAATTTAAATAAACGATAAAGATTTAATTCAGCAATGTTTGCCCAAGTTGGGGTTTTGGGGTTTTGGGGTTTTGGGGTTTTGGGG